ATCAAAGTCAAGGTCAAAGACAGCGACACCCGCCCTAGACAGCTCACCCCAGCGGGGGATCTCAGTGGCCTCAGGGAACTGGTGACGCCAAGCGTCCGTCAGGCGGCCAAAGCAGCGCTGGGTGGAGTGCGCACCCCCGCACTGGTCACCCGCGCGGTCGCCGGTGCGTAGGACGTAGGTGCACGGACCAGTACCCCCACCCCGCTGGCGTGCAGCGTACCACTCACGGAGCTGCTGAGGGGGGGGGATGTCACGAGTGCGCTGCTGCTGCTGCTGCTGCTGCTGCTGGCGCTGACCACCACCGGAGCCGACCCTCTGCGCAGCGCCACCCCGACCAGCTCCACCTCCTCCGCCGCCGCCTCCTCCACCGCCGCTACCTCCGCTCCCACCGCCACCGCCGCCGCCGCCTCCGCCTCCACCGCCGCCACCGGCACCTCCACCCCCACCACCACTCCCACCGCCACCCCCACCCCCTCCACTGCCTCCACCGCCGCCTCCACCGCCCCCGCTAGCTCCTCCAGTGCCCCTGCCCCCCTTGCCCTTGCCAGTGCGGCGTCTCCCGCTAGGGGTAGACGCCGCACCGACCGACTCAAGCCCAACGAGGTCGGCCGCAGCAGCAGAGGCAACAGAGGGCAAAAGGGGGGAGGGGGAACACCCCTCAAAGATGGGGGTGCGAGGGTCACCACGAGAGGCTCCTACAGCGACTATGCTCTTCTCTGCTGCTAGGAGGGACTTCTCGAGGAGGTCAACGGTGAGAGTGGTGGGGCAAACTGAGAGGAAGTGGTCCCTGACTACGCGAAGGGAGTCAGGGAGCCGGGTGACTATGTAGTAGAGGGTGATGTACATGGGGGGGGGGTTCTTGGCGCAGAACTCAGCAGGAAGCGCAGCGCGGTAGCGAGTGTCACTAGTGCGGAGGTGCGTAATGAGGTCAGCGATTGTGGGAAAGGCGGCAAGGTCAGGGAAGAGGTACGGTAGCATGAGGCGGCTCAGTGCAGCAGTGGCAGGGGAGGAGTAGCGCGCAACTACAGCGTCGTACAAGGTGTGAGCACTCTTGTACTGGCTAAAGTGCGCACGCTCAGAGGTAGGCAGGTGGCGACGCACAGCAAGACGTGCAGCAGCATCGCGCGTGGCCCACTGTGAGCGAACAGTGGCGTCAGCATCAGCAGCGGGGGCAGGGGAGGCACCAGAAGTGAGGTCAAAGAGGGAGAGGCCGTCTGCTCTGTCGCACTGTAAGAAAAGCTGCAGGTCATCTATCCAGACGTCAAAGTCAATGGCCCAACCCTCAGCGTCAAAAGCGAGGACACTAGGGGTAGCCATGACAGCAGTAGACTAGCAGCGCAAACAGTAGGGTGAGGGCAGTGCTATGAAAGAGGCGCTGCTCTTACCGGACAGGGCGGCTCGGGTGGCTCGGCTGCAGGGCGGCTCGGCGGCTCGGCTGCTGGGCGGCTCGGCGGCTCGGCTGCAGGGCGGCTCGGCGGCTCGGCTGCTGGGCGGCTCGGCGGCTCGGCTGCTGGGCGGCTCGGCTGCTGGGCGGCTCGGCGGCTGGGCGGCTCGGCTGCTTGGCGGCGCGGCGGGGCCGCTGAGAGGGCGGCGTCCGGGGCCGCTGGGAGGAGGCGGCGAGGCCGCTGAGAGGAGGCGGCGGGGCCGCAGGTAGGTGGCGGGGCCGCTAGTAGGTGGCGGGGCCGCAGGTAGGTGGCGGGGCCGCTGGTAGGTGGCGGGGCCGCAGGTAGGTGGCGGGGCCAGCACAGGTAGGTGGCGGGGCCGCGGGTAGGTGGCGGGGCCGCTGGTAGGTGGCGGGGCCGCAGGTAGGTGGCGGGGCCGCTAGTAGGTGGCGGGGCCGCAGGTAGGTGGCGGGGCCGCACAGGTAGGTGGCGGGGCCGCACAGGTAGGTGGCGGGGCCGCGGAGGGCGGCGACGAGCCGTAGGGGGCCGTGAGGGGCCGCGAGAGGGGCCGTAAGGGGCGTAAGGGGCCGCGCGAGGGGCCGTAAGGGACGGCGCGAGGGGCCGTAAGGGGCGGCACGAGGGGCCGTAAGGGCGGCGCGACGGGCGCGACGGGCCGTAAGGGCGGCACGAAGGGCCGTAAGGGCGGCGCGAAGGGCCGTAGGGGGCGGCGCGACGAGCCGTGAGGGGGCCGCTAAGGGCGACGCGACGGGGCCGTGAGGGGCCTAGCGAGGGCGCGACGGGAGGGAGAGCACACAGGGCGCGACTCGGGCCTGAGCGAAGCGCGCTCCGGGCAGGAAAAAAAAAAAATTCGTGGTGGTGGGCCCTAGGAATCGTTCCCACTAGGGAACCTGCTCGATACCATGAGAAGAAACGAGGAATGAGAAAGACTAAGGGAAAGTTGGGTACAAATGCAAACCCTAGAAAACTGTACCCCATATGTGCTACCCCACTATAGCCTACAGTAGCTCTGTCATATAAATCTGACACTAGTGTGCTGTATGATTGAGATCTTAAATGCTATGACGACTCTATGACGACTGCTCTGCAGACTCCTTGAAGAGTCTTGTCTTAATAATAACATTCTGACAGCCTAGTCCTAGGCATAGGAGGTAGAAGGGTTTAGAGAGTGTGCTGGTGGTAAGCAAATCAAGATCTGGAAAATGCAAATGAGACTAGGTGGCAGGTCTGAGAGACCTGCAGGAATGTCAAGGAGTTTGTCTCCTTTACAGCAAACTCCTCTAGTCGAATCACAATCCTCAAATTTGATTTTTTTTATCTTTAAATTTTTTTACATATTGAATTATCATAAAGGTACTGCATTCTCCATTAGGACGCCGCTGTTAGTGAAGCTACCTTAGTACATACCGTATGCTGTTGATATACGTGTCTTAGCTAAGCTTGATTATTCCAACCCACGAAGCAAGTCTCCATTGCAAAATTTAGGTAGCAGTTTATCCACCACAACTCTCTGTCAGATCATTTCGAGTTTGCCAATTTGCACAACACTACTACCGTATGGCCCCGGATATAAGCGCCGTCCGTTTAAGGGCGCCGGCGCTTCTATCTGGAGCCATGCGCTTATGGCCGGAACTCGATTATAAGCGCCCCCCCTGTAAAACCCTGATTTATTATAAGCGCATGCCTAATTTTATTTTACAATCCTGTTTAAAACGGTAACGAATTTCGAATTTCAAGCGAGTCAACACCCAATTTCAATTTGTTTTGACTTTCGAAGGCTTCACTTGTTGCGCGTCCAGTCAGGATGAGCTGGCACGCGGGCAAAGTGACGTGCCAAATCTATGTGCACAGTCAGGGAATCGCCCTCGCGCGATTCTGATTCAGGACGCTGTAAAAGTTCGATTCGATTGGACTTACGAGACTGAAATGTACAATTTTGTGCGTTTAATTTGTATTTCTGTATTTGTCATTACATAAGCGCCGGCGCTTATGGCCGATACTCAATTACAAGCGCCCCCCTTAAAAAAATCGATTTTATTATAAGCGCATATGCGCTACTATCCGGGGTAATACGGTATTCATTACAGTATTTGGTCTACCCTCTACATGTACTGGTTTTGTTCCACTCATCACAAGTTGTGATTGCAATACCAGTATTTTACTGCTCTGAACCATTGAAAGGTGACTTGCACCTGAAGCTTACCACTAGTTTGCAGTGCTGGTATACCCTGGATATTCCGGAGGGCTTCTAAGGAATTGAAAGGGACGACGTTGGATTTGAAAGGGGCCATTTTGGTGTCTCGAAGCACGAAAAAAATGGTCTGGATGACACAATATGGTAATGCTCATATGCTAATACATTTCCAGGAGCGAGTTGATAGTCGTGTTTGTATGCCTGGAGGGATCACAGGGGATGTTGAGGTGAGTTCATGTGAGAGTATGAACTGTACCGTGCATGAATGTGAGAGCATACACACTACCATGCGTGCCTGTGAGAGCATACACACTACCATGCGTGCCTGTGAGAGCATACACACTACCATGCGTGCCTGTGAGAGCATACACACTACCATGCGTGCCTGTGAGAGCATACACACTACCATGCGTGCCTGTGAGAGCATACATGCTAGCATGCATGCAAACGGTTTGAACCCACACGAGAGTGTGTCAATGAGAAGGGCGTGGGTGTGAGTGCATGTGAACGTGAGTGTGAATGCATGTGGGGACATGAGTGGGAACGTATGCAAGGGTAGTATGAGAGTGAATGCATGCGCGAGTATGAATGTATGTATGTGATGTCACAGCAACGAATCAGTGATCAGCCGAGCTGTGCCTGCAGTGCGCACACCCACGATCGCAGTAGTGGGGACCACGGGGCACAGGGGAAGGCAGAGAGCAGGCAGACTGCCACCTGGGAGAAACAAGGAGCAGGGGAGGTGAAAAGGAGCAAGGAGCAGGGAAGGTGAGACTGGGAAAGAAGTGAAGAATAAGACCACATTACACATCCATCACCACGCATGCCATTCGAAGAAGTAACAAAGAATTCGTGAAAAGCAACTCACCACACAAGTCGGCGAAGGTGCCTTACCATCCTCCACCACACATTGCACTCTTGGGGTTATGAGTGGTCTGGTCACTCACCACACGTGGTCACTCACCACACGTGGTCACTCACCACACGTGGTCACTCACCACACGTTATGAGTAGTCCAATGACCAATCAGACACTTAGAGCACTTCATGTTAAGGACAGCTTAGTCCCATCAGACACTCAATCGGCCACCAAAGCGGCCCTTCTTACCACTCTTGCTGCTGTGCTTCCCTCTTGTGTCATCACCTGCCTCACCTGCCTCACCTGCCTCACCTGCCTCACCTGCCTCACCTGCCTCACCTGCCTCACCTGCCTCGCCACTCGTCTCCTGCTGCTGTACTCTAGGCCCACCAAGTCACCTTTTCACCAAGCTTCTCCCACTTCTGACCCTCCTATCCATCCAACCCCTTTCTCCCCGTCCCATCCACACCGTTCCCCCCCATCCCATCCCTCTTCTCACCTCCCATCCGATTTCTCACCTGCCACGCCACGCGCCCCACAGCGTCTCCTCATGCCCCGCTAGGCACTTCAACAACACTGCTGCCACTCGCACCCAAATCAAGAATCACCTCCTCACACAAATGTTCCCTGTTTCCCCCCTCCCCATCCCTCTCCTCACCAGCCATCAGACTGGCATGCTGCTGCTGCTGCTTCCCAGTCACATTCTCGCCGCGCTGTGCTTGTCCTTTCTGTTCCTTCCTTCTGTGTGCTTGTCCCTCTTCCAGCCTTCCCTCTGTGTGCTTGACTTTGTGTGGGAGAGGCAGGTGTGAGAAGCGGTGCAGATGGCGTTTGAGGGAGAGGGGCAGGGGTGGCGGTGGGGAGGCGGGGAGAGCGAGGGAGAGGAGGAGGGGGAGAGTGTGGAGGGCGAAGGGAGGAGAGACGTCACAGAGGAAGGTGAGCGCGAAGAGAGCTGCATGGCGCTGCTGGGGTGGTGGGTTGGGATGTGGGGGGGTTGGGGAAGGGGAGGGGGGGGGGGGGGGGGGGGGGGGTTGGGGAAGGGGAGAGGGGGAGGGGGGGGGGGGTTTGGGGTGATGGGGTTGGGAGGAAAGGGTGGGGGAGGTTGTTGAAATTTTAATCGAAGGATGGGAGGAAGGTGAGCGCGAAGAGAGCTGAGGGTGGGGGGAAGAGGAACAGTGGAGGGAGGGAAGGAGGGGAATAAGGGAGAGAGGCGGGGAAGGGAAAGACGCGAGGAATAGAGGTGAAGAAGGGGGATTGAGGATGAAGGGGGCAGAGACAACACAGAGGAATGTGGCCGCAAGGAGAGCTGCGTGGAGGTTGGGGTGGGACAGTTGTATGGAGAAGGCGAGGATTCAGGGTGAATTGTGTGTGCATGGAGGTTGGGGTGGGAAGGAAGACAAGGCAGAGGATGCAGCGCGAGCAGCGAGCAGGAATAAGGGAGGGGAGGACGGGCGGCTATTCAGGCGGCAGGAAGGGGAGCCGGGGGGGGAGTGAGATGGGCGAGGTGCAGCAAGTGAGGGGGGGGAGGAGGAGGGGGGGGGGGGGGGGGGGGGGTAAAATTGTGAGAGTACCATAAAGCGAAAAGCAAGCAACTTATGCAGAATAATGACACCATAGGCGCACACACACAGGCACACAGGCATGCAAACCTAAACACACCACCCGCTTCACCTCCTACTCCCCCTTATCCCCCCCTTCCCCTCCTCCCCTTCTCTTCTCCCTCCCTTGCTCACCTCCTGCTGTCCCTCTGCTTCCATCGCCGCCCGCACCACCAGCTCCTGCACGTGTGCCACGTCAGCAGCCAGCGGAGCAAGGCAGCCAATCAGGCGCAGCGCGAGACAGCGGGCTTCCAGGGAGTCAACGGAGTCAACAGCGTCAAGAGCGCCAGCAGCAAGGGACGACGGTGGCGACGGGGAGTCACTTGGCATGGCTGCAGTTGTGCCTGCTGTAACTGTGACTGTTGCTGCTGCTGCGGCGACGGTGGGTGGGAGTGGGAAGGAGGAGGAGCGAGAGAGCAGAGGGGAGATGCGGGTGATGACTTGGGTTGGATTCAAGAGCTTCTGAGGAATCAACACGCCTGCCCAGTCACCGCCAGCACCACCATCACTATCACCACCATGACTATCAGCATCACTATCTCCATGTCTCTCACAGCAATCACCACTGCTGCTAGCACCGTTGCTTCCATCATCATCACCATCAACGCCAGCACCACCACGTTCTCTCTCTGCTCCCCTCACGACCACTCTCCCTCCCCTCCACACATCCCTCACTCGCTCTCCCTCCCTCCTCCATCGCCAGTGCAGCAGGCTGACGTCACACATGCTGCCGACGTCAGGCATGGCGTCACCGTCCGCGTCACGCCACCCAGCAGAGGGGGGCATTCTCAGGGCAGCAGGTGCGAGGGATTGGCCAGTGGGTGCAGCTGGCGTGGCATGATGAGATGCAGGAGAGGGCGGAGAAGGAGGAGAAGGAGCAGGGGGATAAGGAGGAGAGGGAGGAGAGGGAGGGAGAGGGGAAGTGGCGGTGGAGAGGTGGAGGAGGAAGAGCTTGAGAATGCAGAGGCGGGTGGCGCTGCTGCTGCTGCTGCTGAAGGCATCAGCCAGGCGCAGAACCAACGAATTGAATTGTGCCACGTCACTCTCAGACACAGGGGCTTGTCGCTGCTGCCCCTGCTCCTCCCACCCGCTCCTCCTCCGGCTCTCCGTCTCCCTCCCCCTCTTCCTCCTTCTCCCCGCCCCTGCGCTCCTCCCTGGCTGCTGCGCCAGCGTCCAGTGCACGAGGGCAGGCCCGGCTGCGAGAATTCCGTGGCACTGAGTGGCTGAGAGGGCGGGGACAGGCGGAAGGGTGGAAAGGGTGGGAGAGGGAGTGAGAGGGAGGGATGCAAGGGAGAGAGGAGAGAGAGGGGATCCAGGGGATAGGGTGCGGAAGAGCGGAGAGAGGGGAGAGAGTGGGGAAGAGGGGAGAGGGAGTGGGCGAGTGAGGCGAGTGTAAGGTGCGGCGCCGAATGTTTTTCCTCTGCTGCGAGCCCGCTAGAGCGGGGCGAGCGGAGTGCAGAGAAAGCAGCGCGGCTGACGGTGGCAGGAAACGGGGACGAGGACGAAGGCGGGGAGCGGAAAGGGCTGAAGGGAGATTGGGACGAGGTGGGGGCGAGTGGAGGAGCGGGCGAAAGTTGGTTAGTGACGCCGTTGAGATTCGCCGGAACGGAAGCAGGCGATGGCATGACAAGGCACAGCGGGTGAGAATGACAAGGCAGGGAGAAGGAGGCGGCTCGGCGTGGAGCAGAAGAACGACTCTTTCGCAGTGACGATGGAAGCGGCGCGGAAGTGAGGACTAACACCTAGTGATCAATAGATCCGCGCGTACGGAACTCAGGGTTTGAACTCCAGTGAGTTTAGGGTTACGATTAATTGCGATTTTAGGGTTACGCCGGTTACATGTGCTGCGCACCGTGGTTTCAACGGCGACCCACCAGGCTGCGTGGAGCGCAAGGTGCGCTCGAGATGCGCCATCCAATCCGCCGACGACTCGCCATCACGAAACGCCATTACGTCCTTATCAATACCAGCTGCAGCTCTCGAGCAGAACTAATCGCGGCCTTGATTTGGGCACAACGGTACGGCGTGGAACATTTGTAAGCAAACATTGCAATTTGGCAACCCCCTCTCTGCTCGATGCTGGGATTGGATCTGCAGGGTCAACAGCTTTTGGGAGCGGTTTCCGTCTAGGAGGCAACGGGGGGTTTTCACGACACCATGCTCCCCCCGGTCCTGTCCCGTCCCACTGCCATCACCCCTCACACGCCCATCCCCCCTGCGTGCACAGGTATCCCGTGTACAGCATTCCCACGGCCTGCCACTGTCCCTCGTGCTCCCTCCCCCGTCTCATCCCACGTGCCCATCCCCCCTGCGCGCCCATCCCCCCTGCGCGCCCATCCCCCCTGCGCGCCCATCCCCCCTGCGCGCCCATCACCCCTGCGAGCGAGCGCAGGTACCCGGTGTACAGCATTCCCACGGCCGCCACCACGCGGGACCTCGCCGCCTCCTTCCTCACCTTCCACAGCCTCTCCTCCCCTCTGCCCTCCTCCTCCGGTCAGCCCCTTGCCTCATCTGTCAGCAGCCCCTTGCCTCATCTTTCAGCAGCCCCTTGCCTGAATGATCAGCAGCCCCTTGCCTGATTGATCAGCAGCCCCTGTCATTGTCGCGCCTTCTTTTTCAAGGCTGAAAAGAGAACTCGGATGCTTTCTTGCTCGCTCCTTGTGCTGATTCCTTGCTTGTGTTCCCTCCGAAGCTGCATCCCTCCCAAGCTGCATCCCTCATGAGCTTTCGTACTCATCGTACATGCTTGCATGTCAAAGTAGCTCTTCTATTTGCCTGTACCTACCTGCTCTCACCCTCTCTCTGCACCCCAGGGTCGTGCAGCCTCTGCAGAGCCAGGTTCTGGATCGCGCCGCCCTCCTTGCCCGTCTTCCAATCCGCCAAGCACTTGCCCGCCCGCCCATCGTCGGATTCAGCTGACGGGGCGAGCGAGGGGAGGCAACGGGGGGTTTTCACGACGCCTCTGGTGCCGTTTGGCTTTGCGGGGTACAAGACGTGGGGGACGGTGTGGTCAGACCGGGGGGCTGTGCGGGGCTTGGAGGTGGCGGCAACGCAATGGCTTCGGCAGATTGATGCGAACCTGCCCGACCATGCCTTCTTTTCCAGGCAACGATAACCGAACAGAAGAGCGTAACTTGTTTTATTGCACATTTATTGGTGCTTTTTATGTTAACAAGTGAACGACCGACAAGAATGAGAGCATACTGGATATGTACGGGAGCAGTCCATATCCTCTATAACACAACCAAATCTAGGCTACAAAAAAGCGTGCAAATATTGTTAGAATGAAGAAAATAGTCGACCAGAATGGGAATGTACAGTCAGGTAATGCCAGGGCCTTTGCTAGGATTTAGAACATCCTGAGGCCCTGCATGTACGCCCTTCGGGCATGGCTGACGGTTCAAAAAAAGATGACTGATTTTTACCCCCATTTTCTCCCCCCTCAGCTCTGCCTGCCGCAAAATGGCTACCTGGAGCACACAATTTGAGTTCTTTTATAGCAGTCGTGTCAATGCTATTTGTAATATCTACACTTTGGTATTGGTGTGGTTGGTGATTATAAAGTATTCAAAGCCACAAAGCCCCGCATTTCTCGGCTTCCTCATCGCGCCTCGGATCGCGTTGCTACTTGAGAAACGCGTTAGCAGCAAAATTGATGGCGAGGTGAAACAAGTTACCGTACGGGAACGTATTGCGTAGTTTGAAACCTCGGTCGAACACATAAATGCCATTTTGAACCCAATGCTTTTCATACGCCATGATCACCATACTTGGCGGCGTGAATAGCGGTGGCAGAGGTGAAGATTACCGTACTGGAACGCATTGCATTGTTCAACACCCTGGTCGTACCCATGAAATCCAATTTGACCCCAGGTTTTTCATGTGCCTTGATTTGGATGTCTTGTGGCATAAATACCGCACTCCTGGAACATAGCATTCATCAGAATCATTCCATCTCCTTTCTCCTGATCGCATCTATTTCTCTCTGATCTGTCAATCCGGTCTTCCTTTAGGCCATCATGGCAACGTTTTTCCGCCTCGCGAACATTGTCCGCGCCATGCTGGTGTTGGCGCTGGCGCTTCTCCTCGCATCCCACGGTGAGTTGCGCCTCCCGCCGTGCCCAAGCGTTCCAATACTATCCCTGTTGTCCAGTGTTACCTGCAGTATGCAGCCGCACTACGTCGTGGCACCTCCGTATTCTCCGGTTTCAGACCTACTACTTGGTCCCATTTGAGCATCGATGCTGATGCTTTGCGTTTGGAAATGCGGATGCGTTGGAACTTATGCTGCTCTTCAACATATATTTGTAAATAACATCCTTAACACAGTTCCGTTGGCGGCGGGGAGGAAGAGCATGGTGGATCTCGCGGAGCACTACCAGACTCGCGGCGAGACGTGCGCCGTGTTGCTGAAGCGATACTACGCAGGCAAGCAGTTCAAATTCGCGGCCCTCAACAACGGCCGTCGCTGCGAGGACCCGATCGCAAAGGACACGATTATCCGGGTTGTGTGAGCGCGCTGGTGACGACCCCAATTTTGAAAATCATGTTAATTCAAAAATCTGGCGGGATCCAACGTCGTCGTACGGGACGACGACACCTGCCAGTGGGAGGTGATAGCTGAAGATGGTGGCTGGCTTTGTTGTAGCATAGTTGCACTTTATCATATTGTGACACGACTCTCCGAGGAGTGTGCAGCGCAGTCGTCATAGCATTACAAATCTCAATTATACAGCACACTCTGATAGGCAATAACAGTTGGTTCAACCATAAGCTACAAGAACAGTCTACGATAAAAGGGGGTTGGGAGGGAGGGAAGCAAATCAAGATCTGGAAAATGCAAATGAGGCTAGGTGGCAGGTCTGAGAGACCTGCAGGAATGTCAAGGAGTTTGTCTCCTTTACAGCAAACTCCTCTACTAGTCGAATCACAATCCTCAAATTTTTTATCTTTAAATTTTTTTACATATTGTGACACGACTCTCCGAGGAGTGTGCAGTGCACTCGTCATAGGTAAGCGAGACATCATATCGAGGGAATGTGACGATGACGTGCGAGGGTGGATGCGTAACGATGGGTTGGACTAGGACGCGTCGGGTCCTGAAGGGTACGAGACGCCACCACCAACTCGCGATCGAGTTGAGTGACATACAACTCACGAGCCTTGTCGCTACGCCATCGGCCGAGAGCCTTGAAGAGTCGATTGGGAACACCCACATCGACTGCCACAGTGGCCGCCGATTTGCGGAAAGAATGCGTGCCGAGGACATTCGGGTTGAGGCCGACCCGACAGAATGCCTCGCGACACCAGCTTCTAACCGTGGCATATGAGGGGGATCGGTCCGACGGCGAAGCGCGAGCATTAGGCGGGAACACCCTGATCAGGGCGCCTAATGTCTGTGAAGAGAATCCCGCGAGGAAAAGAAATTGTTGCATGCGGGCGACTGGGCAGTGACGAGCAGTAGAGGCGGCAACTGGGACCCAGGCACCTGATCCAGCCTGATCCGTTTTGGAGCGGGGAATGAAGAGCCACATGCAGTCACGATCGAATTCGATCTGGTGCCACTGGAGGGCGATCAGGTCGGAGAAGCGCAGGAAGGCCGCGAACATCAAAAGGGGAATGAGACCGCGCTGGAACGTGGCGGGATCCGACGACGCGAAATAGATGTCGCATATGTCGTAGATCTTCGCCGGGGGTATCGGTTCCTTTGCTAGTGAGGGTTTGCCACAGTGGCGCTGCGCATACTCCCGCACTTGTGAAGAAAGTGGTCCTCGAATAGGAGAAGGGCAGCCGACCAACCAATGGGCACATGAGATTGCGGAGCAAGCGGATCGCACGGCCGATACGGTTGCGCCCCTTCGGATCGAGTGTAGTAGGAAAAGAGTCGTTGTCAGGTCAGTAGCGGGGAGGAATGGCAGCGAATGCTCGTGACAAAAGGCGCGATATTGTCGCCAGTATGGTTTGTATGTGCGAATGGTTGATTGAGCGCGCAAGTCGACTGTGAGTGTCAAGAGGTCCATCATCAAGCGTCCAATGTAAGATCCTGCATGTTTACATGACTATGCATTAGTATATATCAAACGGAGTGCATACATGTGCGAATGGGGAATACCGGCACCACTAAAAGCCTGGGGATCGCTACCAACACCTAGACATACGGAGCCATGGGCGAGATACATGCTCTCGCGGACATCATTTGCCCACGCGGTGCCCTTTGGGCGCAGCAATGGCCACCAAAAAGAGCTAGGCCACTCCGGGATCACAAGAGTTATCACCGTTCTGGAACGACGGGCGTGAGCAATAACAGCTGGGATTAGGGGCGGTGGGGGAAAGGCATAGCAGTTCTCTCCTGTCCAACTGAGAGAGAATGCATCTTGCACGACAGCCTCTTTATGAAAGTTAAGAGAGCAAAAACGGGGCAGCTGTGCGTTGGACGGCGACGAGAACAAGTCGATAGTGTGTGGGCCCCAGCGACGCTCGAGTAATTGAAACCATGTCTGCGCGAGACAATAGTCATCATGAAGTTCAATTTTTGAGAGCGCGTCAGCCTCGGTGTTGAGCTCTCGAGGGATCCACTGTGCCGTGAGTCGAATCTTGTGGCGCACGCAAAGCGTGATGATGGCGCGACAAATTAGGGTGAGCTCCGCGTGGCGCGAACCACCCTTCTTTAAGATGTAGTAAGCTGCCTGGCTGTCGCTCCGAAGCAACACATGTGATCGCCGAATGTCGCGGCTGAAAGACGCCAGAGCCCACAGAATCCCAGCGAGTTCACGATGCGTGCTTGAGGCGGCTGATAGCGTGCGAGGAAATGGAGAAGAACTTGAGCCGACGTGACCATCCGGCGTAGAGTAGCAGCTTCCCCAAGCATGGTCGCTTGCATCCACATACATGACCACGTCATAAATGTGCGGATTATGGAAACAATAACCATTGAAGACGTCGAACTGAGTCAGCAAAAATCTCAGCTCGTCAACTGACTCTGGTGTCAAGTAAATGGATTCCCCCCAAGTTTGGCACGCACTAATTTGAGAAAGCAGGTGATGGGAGAAGGCACGAGCGATGGTGCCAAGTGCCAGCGTCATAGAGGCTAGCATGCCTGCCACTCTAGCCACTCGGCGAACTGGGGTACGACGGCCCTGCGTGCTGATTCGGCACAAATGGTCGAGTTCCTCAAACAACCAGCCTCGGCGGTCAGCATCGACAGAGAAGGAGGAGGTGCGAGTGTCTAGCATGAGGCCAAGAAATTTGAGCCGTTGCGAGGGCTCGAGTTGTGATTTCTCCATATTGACGACAAAGCCGGCGGAGCTGAGGTCATCTAGAATGACGGCTCGTGTTCGGATTGCCTCAGCCCAAGTAGCACTGATGAATAGGAGATCGTCCACATAAGGGATTAACCGAATCCCGTTGCTG